AAGGTTGCCCAGCCAGGAGGCAGCACTGCTGGGATTCAAACCCAAGCCTTTCCTGATGCCAAGTCTAGTTCTGTTTCTCTTATATCACATTATTCCTCATCATGCCTCCTGTACTCAAAATAATGCCATTAAAAGAGTCCTCAATTTGGAATCAGAATGTCTGGATTGAAATTTTAATTTGGTTCAAATTTACAAGTGGTACGACCGTGGTATGTCATTGAACCTCTCTGGGTTTTGATTCTTTCATTTGTAAAATGAAGATAATAATGCCTGTGAGTAGATATTCTCACAGGGTTATGATAATTGAATGAGATAACACAGGTAAAATTTTGATATATATCAGGCGTAATCGCCAAATTCTCAGCTAAAACTTTCTTTAGCTATCCCCAAGAGACATGGATTAATCCAGGTGGGTCGAATACAGTGCCTGGCACATAGTACATGTTAGGTTTTTCATATTAGCTTTTCTAGAAAAAAAATGTTGGATTTCTCCCCCTTCCCCCTTACGTAACATCTTCTCTCTTTTTTAAATAACTCTGTCTATTGTCTTCATGCTACTCCTTGAATACTTGGGGTCCCCTGACTTGGCATCAATCCTACCCAGATTGCGGTTTCAGACCTGTCTAGAACCTTCCTCTCCCACTGAAGCTTATTTTCCTTTTTTCAGTTCTCTTGATAGAGAGAAGCATAATGTGACAAGTATGGGACAAGTCATTACACTTCAATGATGCTCTTAGTAACTGTGGATACTTCCTTCCTATCCAGGCCTTATTAGAGAACTTTAACAAATTGCTGTGGAAAAGAAAAAAAAATTCTGCCCAACCAGGTGAAGTTTCCTGAATTTAGCTGGGTTGATATGTGAATAAAACATTCAATCTCTCATGGGGAGTTACCCTGGAAACTTTTCTAGTTGGTAGTTCTTGGCAAAACTTCAGCTCACTACAAGCCTTGCAGATCCCAGGGATGCTTCCACTCTTTGCTGAAGCATTATAGGAAGATTTAAGTTGAAATGCTAAGTTGTAAACAGCTACCACTGTTTTATTGTTGTTCTTCAGTCCTTTTCAGTCAGGACTAACTCTTTGTGACCCCATTTAGGGTTTTCTTGGCAAAGATACTGAGGTAGTTTGCTATTTCCTTCTCCAGCTCATTTGAGAAAACTGAGGTAAACAAGGTTAGGTGATTTGCCCAGGGTCACACAGCTAGTAAGTTCCTGAGGCCAGATTTGAACTCAGGAAGATGAGTCTTCCCGACTCCAGGCCCAGCACTCTATCCATGGTGCCTCCTAGCTGCCTCTTAAGCACATGCTTAACACATTTACATTTTAACAGAAGCTTCACTTACCCAAACTGTTGAATGGGGAAATGAATTAAGGCACAAAGGTCCTTTCTCATAACCACTGAAATCTCACCACCCACATGATCATATAATTTCCTATTCTCAAGGCCAAGCTTGGATGCAGCACTCACATGCTCAATGGAGGAGGGTTTTTTCTTAGTTCTGACTTTCAAGACTATTACATCTTTTCAAACACAAAGTAAAAGGACTCAAGGAAGAGTTCTGAAAATTTTGGGAGAAAGGCAACTAACCAACAGTGGAATCTGCAAAGCAAGTTGGTTTGGCAAAGCTGATGCTGGTTCTGCTTAAAAAAAAATTCAATGAAAATATTATTATATTTGGACTTAAACACCCCCTGAAGGATTTGTTAGGTAGACACTGAGGCATTGTCTGGACTCTCCACCACCAGGAAGTCTGGAGCCCTGAAACAAAAGGAACTTGATCAGTCTGTTTTTCCTACCCAAAAAGAGTGAAGTGCCCCAAACATACGAAATGATACCAGTGGGGATGCCAGGTTTTGAACTAGGATGACTGGCTAGGTATTCTTGCGCTATATTTCCAATTCAAGAGCACCAACCAGATTTCTCCAATTCATCCTGAATTAAAGTGGAAGTCGGGTGTGGCACAATATTGTCTCAAATCCACAAATCATGTCCATTCCTTAGGTAAGAGGCAAGAAATACCCAAGTTGGACAATGGACTCTTGTCCACCCCATCTGCTCTACGATCTGGAATCCCTGTGAGAGGAGGTTCAGTACTTGTCAGCTTTAGGCCTATACCTAATATATTCTAATTTCCCCAGTTACTGCTTATTTGGGGAAAGAGAGGTGATAAAAACTACAGCTTGAATATTAAAAACACCTTTATAGAAAACGATTTAAATTGTCTGAATGCTTTGAGAGATGATAGTCTCAAGACCCAGATTTTTGCAAATTTGCCTTGTTTGACTATGCCTTTTGTTTATAAGGATTTCCTTTTCTTTTTTTTAGGGAGGATATGGTTGTGAGAGGTGAGAGAGAAAATAAATGCTTATTAATTGAAAGAAATGTAAAAGATACCGTTTCTCCTTACCAGAGGACTGGGACAAGTTAATGCCTTGACAACAGAAAAGCCCTCAAGCGTAGGCAGCTGGGTGGTGCAGTGGATAGAGCACTGGCCTTGCAATGAGGAAGACATCCTTAAGAGTTCAGTTCTGATCTCAGACACTACCTGTGTGATTCTGGGCAAAGTGATTTGACCCTGTTTGCCTCGGTTCCTCTTCTCAGGAAATGGCAAACTACTGCAGTATCACTGCCAAGAGAACCCCAAATGGGGTCACAGAGTCGGGCAAGACTGAAAAACAAGTGAAAAATAATTTCTTTCCAGCACAAAATTTTGAAGCCACACTTTCCAAAGATTTCCTTTTAACTATTCTTTCAAATCTTATGAGAACAGGAACAAAATCTCAGTCAAACTCTTCATAGTTTTTAATACTCTTTCTTGAACATCTGTTATTCTTTTTAGTAAGGAGGTCCTGTTCTCTCCCTGAAGGCAGCAGATAAATTAGGGTAGCATTAGAAAGAGGAAGCAGCAAATATTCAAAATGGAAAATACTGAGCCTCAAGATGCGTCCTGATAGGTTTTTCCTATAATGATGAATTTCTCTATTCTTCTCTAACATTATTTATTATCATTATCATTAGATATCATTGCCAAATATCAGTAAAGGAGGCTGGGGAAAATCTGTTGATAGCTATAATAATTATTGTTATTTTCTCTTTTAAAGGATGAAAGTGAAGGTGCAGTCCTGTGGAATGGCAGGGGGCCTGAACTTAATGGCCTATTAAGGCCTCTCCCACGTATATTATTCCATTATAAAATTGTATATCAGGGTAGAAGGCCAACCTGGGGGTAAAGAAAATTAAGGGTCAAGGCCTACCTTTGCCACACTGCTGTCATCTTGGGCCCAAGATATTTCTCTAAGACTAAATTGCTAAGAGTTGCTCATTTGGATGAGGGAAGTGTTTTACATATTGGGAGTTCCCTATACTATTATGTGGACAGGCAGATCCCCAATAGTTGCTGCATATGACATGTACAGATATATGGTTGATCACTTTGTGCCTTAAAAACAATAGATTTTATTGTATTAGTACTTCTGTGGTCTAAGTGCATCAAAAATTAACATTATTCTGCAATGTGATTAGATAAAGGTCAAGCCTATGTGTCTGTGGATTCCTAGTGAAAAAGTGCCCAGCACCACCTTTACCAAAACATACTGGTTACTTGGTTTGGAAGAAGATGCCAAGTTTTATTGTCACTAAAAGTGCTTTCCCTTGTGGTAGCATCTGAAGGATATATGTGTTCTGGAACACATGGATTCTTTTACTTCCACCAAGAGGGATGCCACCCTCAAGCTCTGGGCCTTCCCCAACACTTCGTCTCTCTGTGTACATGTCTTTTTTTGCCCTGTTCAGTAACCTTCAATAACTTTAATAACCAGAAGGTGGGGCTATGCACCTCACCCTTATTTTTGCATACTGGTGAGGCTTCAATAACTGAGTTGCAGAGGTGGTATTTCTGGGCCCAAAGGGAGAACCTTTTCTGCTTCAGCTTTTCTGATGAACACTTAAAGTACATGTTTTTACCAGATGCATGAGTAATGACTCTTTGTAAAGGTCAGTACAATGTCGGTGAAGCTACATGTAAATATAAACAACTTGTATGCTTTTCATCCATATTAACATTGCAACAATAACTTGACATACACTTTGTTATTCCTGCATGTGTTTTCCACTTAATTTTATAAATGCAGAAACCAAGTATGAGAAAATAAATTAGGCATGAGATTTCCATCTGTACAGAAAATGAAAAAATATATGGTTACTAGAGGCATATTAAAACTGTGAACGTGTAGGTTTTAAGTACTCCTGACTGAATGCATCAATCAGAATAAGAAACTGAATGTTTCCTAGAAAATAAGTACAAAATCATGAAAGAATGTGGTTCACTTTCTACATTTTATATTCAGAGTTGATAGCTATTGGAAGGAAGACACTGGAAAGCTTTGCTCTTCTAAGACAAGGCATAAAAACCCAGGAAAAGGAAGGAAATTCACTTGTCTTTTTGTCTTGTCTCCTGAATAGATGGTGAAGTACCATTAGAAGAGTGAAAAGAGAAATAATAAAAATAATAGTAGTAATGATAACTTGCATGTACATGGTGCTCAAAAGTCTGAAAAGAGCTTTACATCTATTATCTCATTTTATCTTCATAACAAATCTGAAAGGCATTTTTATCATCCCCATTTTACCAAGCAGGGAGAAGTTAAGTGATTTGCCCAGGGTCACACAACTAGTAAATGTCTGAGGCTAGATTTGAACTCTGGTCTTCCTGCCTCGCAACCCTGTGTTTTATTTACTGTGCCACCTAGCTCCCTCAATCTAAATATAAATAGGTACAAAGGGTTTTACACACATTAACTTACTGGTAGAAAAGCAAAGCTTGATATGAAAGAGGCCAAGATGAGAAGTTAATTATCTGTCTGGGGAACAAACATAATCATGCCCAATTTATTTTTGTAATTCTCATTGCTGATGCTAAAAAAAAAATAATAACAAACTTCTTGAATAAATGAACTAAGAATAGCACATTTAAAGTAGGAAAATAATTTAACTTAATGAATGGATATGTGTAACACATTTATTGTAGTTTTTATGCAATAGATATTTCACTAGTAATTCCAGAAGAAAAAAAACTAGCATATTTTCTTTAAGTTATCATTAGCTTTCCTTTTACTAGATCTAATGTAGATACTGCAGATCATTTCTAGAGTTATTTGTTAAATTGCTTTTTAAATAGACTGGGGAAATATAGGTATTTTTCATATCCATTTAAGAGCAGAAATTTTATAAAAAAGATAACATATTTATTGCATTAGAATTTCATTCTTTACAGGAGCCATAATGCAAACTCATAGCATTAATATACATGATGCAACCAAATAGCAATATGACCAATATAAGAAAAATGCAAAACCAGAATTTAACAGGCAGAGTTTGTGGTTAATCAAAATATTTAATATGGCTTGTAATGGAAAGAAAGTGTATTTTCAAATAACTTGTTATTGCCACATTCCATTTACTCCCCATCAAGTGAGGATAAAATCATCATCTCCATCTTTAAATTGCATGTACATTTGCTCTACACTAATACTATACATATTTTGCACCACATAGTATGCAATGATATATGAACTTCATTGAGTATATATATACAGTATACAGATAATTCTGTGGCAATACCCCTGAATATCTTCAATTTAAGCGATTACAATTTTCATAATAGAAAACTACTTGAAAACTTGGTTTAACTTCTTGATATCGAAGTTTAATCCTACAGAATTTTCAGGGAAAAAAAGTGATAAAACATTGGCTATAAACAAGTTCTTTACATAAAAATTGAATTGTGGTCCCATACACATACAATATGTACAATGAAGCAGTTTTTCAAAAAGCTATTTACATCTATTTTCCTTGTTTTTTATATGAAATGTACAGAATAAGTAAATGGTGAGAAAATTGTAGGCAGATCTATTTGTTTTTTCTATTGGCACATTTTTGTGTAAGTTCCAAATTTCTTCTTTTGAGTTGTTATTTACTTCTATTTGCCTTGTATTACTGCTGCTGCTGCTGTTTCTTTTGGTGCTCTGAGAACACTGGGTGACTTTACTTCTAGGTACAGGGAGAAAAGATTTTACTCTTGAAACACCCAACTCAGTTTTTGGTTTGCTGTTGCTGCATTCTACAGTTGGACCGCTGCTGAGAGGACAGACATCCTATGCGAAAGAGAAGAAAGTGAAAAAGGTCTTAGTGACAGTAGAAACTGTCAGATGTCGAGAGAAAAAAATTCACCAGGAATCAGCAGAAGCATTTTATTTTACTTTTAAATTTAATTTATTTTCAGTTTCTGATTTTCTCCCTTCTACCTCCCCCTTGAGAAAGCAAGGAAAATAAAACCTGTTACAAATTGGTACAGTCAAGCAAAACAAATTCCCACATTGGCCATGTCAAAGAAAGAACATCTCAATTCACATAGAGTCCAGCACCTCTTGAGCTGGAGGTGGAGAGCATGCTTCCTCATGAATCTTCTTGTACTGTGGTGATCAGAGTTCCTAAGTCTTTCCAAGTTTTTTGTCTTTATAATGTTGTTGTTGTGTAAACTGTCCTAGTTCTACTCCTTTCTACTTTTCACAATTTATTCAGCCATTCCCTAAGTAGTGGGTTGCCCTTAAGTTTCCAGGTCTTTGCCACCACAAAAAGAGCTGCTATAAACAGTTTCGTAATATGGGTCCTTTTTCTTTTTTTCTTTGATCTTTTTGGAGTTATAATTCCTCAAGCATTTGTCATTTGCCTTTTTTATAATCTTAGCCAATCGATGGGTGTGAGGTGTTAACTCTGACCCATTGTCCAGGTACCATCTAATTATTAGTGATACAGAGCATTTTTTTAATATGGCTATTGATAATTTGGATTTATTTCTCTAAAAACTGCCTATTCATATCCCTTGACCATTGCACATTTGAAAATGGCTCTTATTCTTACAAATTTGACTTGGTTCCCCATATATCTTAGAAATGAGTCCTTTACCAGAAAAACTTCATATAAAGACTCTCCCACATCACACATACCAATCTCCTGCTTCTCTTCTAATTTTAGCTTTAGTGGTTTTGTTTGTGCAAACATTTTTAAATCTTATGTAATAAAAACTGTCCATTTTACTTCTTGTGAACCTTTCAATATATTGATTGGTCATGAACTCTTCCATTTTCCATAGATCTGACTGGTAATTTCTTCCATACTCCTTTAATGCTGTCACCCTTTATGTCTAAAGCAATGTAAGCACTTGGACTTTATCTTGGTATATATGGTATGAGGTGTGTTGGTATAGGCCTAGTTTCTTCCAACTGCTTTTAAATTTTCCCAATAATTTTTGTCAAATAATGAGTTCTTGCATCAATAGCTGGGATCTTTGGGTTTATGAAACACTAAGGCTACTATGCTCATTTATTTCGGTATATTGGGGACCTTCCTACTGTATTCAAATGATCAGTCTCTCTATTTCTTATCCAATACCAAACTGTTTGATGATTACAGCTCTGTAGTATAATTTGAGATCTGGTACTGCCAAGAACCCTTTCTTCGTACTTTAAAATATCCATTCCCTTGACATTCTTGATTTTTGTTAGAGCTTCATCCAGATCACACCCTCTAAACATAGGTGTCCCACAGTGTTCTTTCTTTGCTCTTCTCTCTCTACACTACTTCACTTGGTCATCAGCTCCCATGGATTTAATTACCATTTCTATAATGATGATTTTCTAATTTACCTATCCTTCCCTGACCTTTCTTTTGATGTCCAATCTCACATCTTTGTCTGCCTTTCAGACATCTGGAACTGGTTGCCTCGAATACATCTTATTCTCAACATGACCAAAAATGAACTCATCATCTTTTGCCCAAACCCCTTCTTAATTTCCTTATTACAGTCAACACCATCTCAGTCCCTCAAGCTCACAATCTAGGTGTCATCCTTGACTCCTCACTATCTCTCATCCCCCATATCCAATCTGTTGCCAAGGCCTGTCAATTTCACCTATGCAACATCTTTCCAATATGCTCCTTTCTCTCTTTTGATACCGCAACCACCCTAGTGCAGACTCTCATCACACTTCATGCCTGAATTATTGTAATAGCCTACCAGTGGGTTTGCCCACCTCAAGTTTCTCCCTACTTTTAGTCCATCCTCCATTCAGCCACAAAGTGATTTTCCTAAAGACCATGTCACCTTCCCTATTCCACAGTCTACATATGATCGAATTATCAAATACAAAATCCAATATAACCTCTCAACTCCCCTTCTCCCCATTTAAAGTCCATGAGGACTGACACCTTACTCCCTTCTACATACCCTTTGATCAGTGACACCAGACTCCTCGATGTTCCTGGAACAAGACATTCCATCTCTCTCATCTCTGAAAATTCTCTCGGGGTGTCCCCCATGCCTGGAATTCTCTCTCTCTAAATCTCTGCCTCCTAGGTTCCTTCAAGTCTCAACTAAAATCACATCACCAGGAAGCTAGGCTACACTTTTTCCTGATATTCTGGCCTTTCACTGTATCTCCTCTAATGGCATTTTAGATGAGTATCTTTTACTGGGGATTCTAGAGAAGAAATGATTTTGCTATGTATCAAAAGCCTGTATAGTATTTGCTTCTATCAAATGCAGGTTGAGTTTTAAGATAGGAGATTTTAACTTATGCCGATAACAAGACCTAAAAATGGTTCTAACATCTGCCATCCTTTCCTTCCCCTCCCCTCCCTGATTAGCCCTGTTTCCTTTCCTGTGATGGGCTAAAGCATCCCCCCCACCCCAATGAATAACATAAGGTATACTTACATAGTACATTAAGGCTTATAAATCACTTAAAAATAGCACCTTGATGTATGTAGTGCGCATATGTCTATGTGTTACAGGTGAAAAAATATGATGTTTAGAGAGGTTGAGTTGTCCAGGGTCAAAGCTGGAAAACTTCTAGAACTGGGATTCTGAAGCAGGTCTCCTGACTCCAAGCCTTACAGTTAAACTTTCACCTGAATCATCCTGCCTTGCCACAAACACTATTGTAAGAAAACTGAAATAAAATGGGAACAAAAAAGAGGAGTGGGGCATCTGAGAACCCTTTTGTACTCACCACTTGCTTTCATTAGGGCCAAACTGTTTTCATGTTGTCTCTAGACTTCCACACTTATGCACTGAATACAGATACACTTCATTCACTACCAAGGGGGTGAGGAGAAGAGGAGGAAAACAAATTCATTCCTTTCCTCAGCACTAACATTTTGCAAGAGAGATTCAATTTGTGCACAAATGATCCTAATATAAGGTAACTAGAGGAGAGGATACTTCAATGAGGCACTGACACCCAAGATGAGCCTGAAAAAGACAAATACTAAGAGGAGAGGTGGTAGAATGCATGCCATACCTGGGCAATGGTTCATACAAATGCATGGAGGTGGGAGACAGAATGGTCCATCTGGGGTACAACTAGTGGTCTAGTTTGGTTGAAATACAGAGTTTTTGAATGGAATAGGCTGGAAAAGTAATATGGATTACAGAAGGTCTTAAATGCTATGCTGAGGAGGTTTGTATTTTTATCCAAGAAACCAAAAAGAGCCAATAAAAGTATCTGAATAGGGAGTGACATGTTCAGAACTAATCTGTGTCAGGAAGGATATTTTGATAGCTACATCGAGGTTGGATTGGAAGGGTGAAGAAAACTGAAGCAGGAAATGCAATAAGAGACTATTATAGTAGTCTAAGAAAGACATGGTTAGAGTCTGGTGGAAGAAGGAACGAAGAAACAAGTATTAAGCACATACTATATGCTAAGCACAGGAAACTGAGGCAGAGCATAAGTGAGAGTTACATAACTACTAGATGTTGGAGGCCAAATTTTAACTGAGGTCTTACTGACTTCAGCTCTATGCACTGCTCTACCTGTGTCTAGTGAATGCCGTGTGAGTGGAGAGGAAAGAGATGAAAGAACTCTGGAGATGTACCTGAGTGGTTATGGGGTCAGCAAGGGAGAAGAAAGAAGCAAAGAAGATTGTGAGGTTATGAATCTGGCTGATGAGGATGCTGGTGATGACCACAAAAGAAAGACAAAAGTTTGGAGAAGGGGTGACTCATTGGGGAAGATAGTTCCATTTGGGATATTAATACACCTACTATCCTGGGCTTCAAAGAACCTTAGTCTTGGAGAAATCCTTTGAAGTCTTCTAGTCTGTTGGTTCCTAGGCAAATCATGTAATCTGGAATGGCCTTTAATTTCTCTGGTTCCCTGATCTGTAAAACGATGGGATGAAACTAGATGCTCTAAAAGATCATTTTTTCCCCTAACTCCTCAAAATAATGTAAATTCCATAAGGGCATGAACTGTTTCCTATTTATCTTCTTTTGGGGGGTTGGGCTGGGGAGGTTGGCAATGATCATTAAGTGACTTGCTCAGAGTCCCACAGCTAGAAGTGTCTGAGGCTGGATTTGAGCTCAGGTCCTCCTGACTCTGGGGCTGGTGCTCTATCCACTGCATTACCTAGCTGCCCCGCCTATTTGTCTTTGTTATTTCCAGCACCCACCGCAGTGCCTGGCAAATAGTAAGCAATTAATAATTACCTTCTGACTGACTGAAGGTCCTTTCCAGCTCTAAAATCCTATGATTGGACAAGGATATTTTACATTCGTTACCTCTCTGATGATATGGTAAAAGTTCTTCAGTGATAGAAAGTCAATGACCTTCTGGTTTTGGGTTCTCAGTGACCCTGACTGTAATGCACCTGTAATCAGAAGGTCTAGGTTTAAATCCTGGCCCTGCTGTTTACTTACTCGGTGACTTTGAGCAAATCATTTTTCTCACCCCTATGGGCTCATCTGTAAAATGAAAGGGTCAGCCTAGATATCTCAGTCTTTTTTCAGCTCTGTGATTCTATCCATCAGTGCTAGACATAGGTAATCTTGAAAGATGATGGAGGGATGCTCTTCCTGAGAGCCCTTCCAGAGGTAAAGATTCTTTCTTCTTTTCCTCATATAAATGGCCTCCACAGGGACACCACTAACCAACCTAATGCTCTTTCAACCGGTACAGAGCTTGCATTTGCCTCACTGTAATGTCAACTATGTTAAAAATACATTATCTTTTGGAGGCACTGCTTTGGAAATAAACAGATACATGAAGGAATGACACCCTTCTCCACCCCATGCAAGTATTTAATAAGCACC